GGGGAAGGCAGGGATGTGGGGAGCAGGACCTGCGGAGGCGGGATGTGGGGGGTGGCGCGGTACCTGCAGGGGCAGGGATGTGAGGGTGTAGGACCTGTGGGGGTGGGGACATGGGGGTGCGGGACCTGCGGGGGTGGGGACTTAGTGCAGGAATGTGGGGGGACAGGACCTGCGGGGGCGGGGACGTGGCAGGGAGGGACCTGCAGGGGCGGGCACCTAGGGGTGAGGCCCGGCAGCCCCATCCCAGGGCAGCATCTTCCCCGAGGCCCCGCCCGAGTGGGGCGGCCCTCGGTGATCCAGCCTGGTTGCCCCAGGGTCCTTCAACTACCTCAAGTTCTTCGAGCACATGCGCAAGTTCCACGCCCTGGAGCAGCTGGACGACGCCATCCGCAAGGCCTTCCAGGTCCTGGACAAGGATAAGAGCGGCTTCATCGAGTGGAACGAGATCAAGTAATGCCGGCAGCAGGGGAGGCGGGGCCCAGGCCACCAGGAACCCCAAACGCTCACCCGGCAGACCCGGCCTTCCCCCACCGGGTCCCCGCCAGCCTTGTGGCAGGCAGGGCTGAGCCAGAACCAGCTAGAGGCCCAGGAAGCCCAGAGGCCCAGGCTCCCGGCCCCGAGTGCCCTCGCCTACTTAGTGAGGGTAAACGGCCGGAGCCACTGGGCACTGGCCAGAAGCCCCTCAGCCCTGACTCCAGCCCCCTTGGTGCCAGGTACATCCTGTCCATCATCCCCAGCAGTGGGCCCACAGCCCCGCTGACGGACGAGGAGGCCGAGGCCATGATCCAGGCGGCGGACGCAGATGGGGACGGAAGGATCAACTACGAAGGTGGGGCCCGCTCCGGACATTCCTTACCTGGCCAGGCTGTCACACTTGCCCAAGGCCCCGCCCCAAGGGCACCTGCACGCAACTGGCAGACGAGGAAACCCAGGCTCAGGGGGCTGGGCCAGGAGCCGAGGGACTCTTCCTGGGGCCAAGGACCCCACTGCAGAGAGGTGGCTGGGAAGGCTTCGGGAAGGCCAGCTGTGGTGGAGCCGGCGGGTATGGGGTCTCAGGCTCGGGGCCGCATCTTCTGGGAGGTCCAGGGTCTTCGAGGCTCTCCATGGCTGCCCTGAGGTCTGGGCCATCTCACCTCCGCCCAACCCCAGCTGCGGGCCATAGGCCTGGAGGGCAGAGGGCACACAAGGTGGGCCGGGCCTCCAGATGCCCCCTGCTCAGCCGTGGCCCTGTCCTCATCTGCCCCGGTCTGGAAACCGCAGCAAACCCCGCTCATGGAGGGCCACGAGTCTTGACAGGGGGCAGCCTGGCCCCTCAGAAGTCAGACCCCCTAGCTGTTCCATGCCTCAGTTTCCCCACTGAGAGATGATCATAGGAGTGAGCTCCTGCTCTCAGAGGGTCTGTGGGAATTCCTGAGGGTCTCTGTAGAGACCCAGGCCATTGCAAGCCTGCAGTCCCCAGCTGGGGTCAACCCATGATAACCAGGCAGCCGGGTCCAAGGCATGGGGCCCCGGCCAGACAGGCTGGAGGCCTGCTCCCCACTGAGGGGCTCAGGGACAGGACCCTCTGGACCATGCAGTCCAGTCCTGGCACCCTCCCTTTGCCTCCTCTGAGAGTTAAAAGGCCTGCAGGGATTGGGGGACGTGAGACAGGGGTACTTACTAGAAATTGGTCTGTTGCTCTAGAATTTTCTGAATTGATCAAAAAGGAGAAAATTCCAAAGAAGAAGTAGCACCATGACCAGCCCTGGCCAGCCGAGGGGCTCCTATGGGGTAACTCGGGGGGACCGCGTGCCTGGGCAGAAGTCGCTGGGGCATGTGGGAGGAGGCCGCCATGAGGGTGGACTCAGCTCTTGCCAGAAAATGGAAGAAAAGCTGCATTAAGTGAATGACGCAGCCTCGTGTGTCTGTTGGGGGTGCTGGTGTGAACGGGGGTGGGGGCAGGATCAGGGCCATGGGTGACGACAGCTGGGGGCAGGGCGGGCAGGTGAGGAGTAGGAGGAAGACGGCCTTCTCCCATCCCTGAGCCCCACCTGGCTGTGGGCACCCCCGAGGGCGGCCTTGCCGTGAGGTCCCATCCAGGTGGGACTCCCGGTCAGCAGGTACATGGTACTCTCTGGGCCCAGACCCCTGAAGGGCCCCCTCCTAATCTGCAGTGGGCCTGGCCTGGGGCCACTCGGGGCCACACACCCCCACTTCACACAGCAGCTGCCTGAATGTGGTACGGGGACACCTGCAGCCCCCGGGTGCCCCTAGTTCTAGGCAGAAGCACCCGAAGCCTCTCCTCCGCCCCCATCTCCTGCCTGCTCAGGCTCCCGGGCTGGCCCTTCTACCTCCGGCCGTGTCTCCCTCCGTGGTGCTCCTCTCCCTGCTTAGTACCCCAGCCCAGCTTTTGGGCCTCTGTCCCCCTGACACTCCCTTGCCTAGAGCTCCTCATCTAGTGGCCTAAGGACCCCCAGGCCCCCAGGCCCTGTGTGGGAGGAGTGGCAGGGGCCTGGGCCCCTCGGTGCCATTTGTGGATGTGGGCATTGGCCTCCAGCGGCTCACTGGCCACACAGGACTCCAGGCTCTCTGGGCTGGTGGCACTTAAGGCGCTGGGGACCTGAGTCCTGGCTCGCCCTGGAAGGGAAGACACCTGCGCATCGGGGGAGCCCTTGCTGGGCTTAGGGGAGCCAGAACGGTGCTACTCCAGGGGTGGGAGCTGCTCCAGGGGCAAGCGAGGCATTTGTTGGGGTCAGTTTGTCGCAGTGGCAAGAATGAGGCTGATTCACACCACCCTCACGACCCCTCCGCAGGTAACTACTTGGGGAGCAGGACCTGGTCCAGGGCTGCCGCTGGTGCCCCTCAAACCCCCAGGACGCCAGGGTGGGGTTGCAACGCTTGACCTATGGCTCCCCTATCCAGAGGGCAGAGGTGCCTCTGGCCACTGCTCAGCCCCGGTCGAGAACCCGGGCCGCCCCTCCTGGCTCCATCTCGAAATATGCAGAGCCCGAGCCCCCGCCCACACCACCCCGCCACGGTCACTCTTGCTTGGGCAGCCACCGCAGGCTCCCGGTTGGTCTCTCCACCTCCAACCCCTGAAGGTCCACTGTCAACTTGCCGGCTGGAGGCCTCCCTCTGGGAACCCTCCTGGGGCCCTCCCCTCACACAGGGTGAAGCCAGGCCCTAGGGGCCTCACAGACTGTGGTTCCCACTTTCCCTCTGACCTGAGACCCCCATGCCCTGCCCCTCCCCATGCAGCCATGGGACGCCCCTGCTTCCTCAGCCAGAATCTGCTCCAGGGCCTTTGCACGGTAGGCCCTCAGCCCAACACGCTCTTCCCTAGACATCCCACTACCAGACAGACTCTCTCCTCCTCCTTCGATGTTTTCTGCAAACGTCATGTCTCCACGAAGTCGTCTTCACCTGCCCCATGTGGCATTTCACTGGCCCTCATCAGCATCCTACGTCCCCCTGGACCAGGTCTTTTCCCCAAAGCACCCCCCGTCCCCTAATATGCTGACATGGCGTACGTACTGCATTCATTACGAGCAAAGTGTGGGTGCTGAGGTCCAGAGTGAGTGCAGGTGGCCCAGGCTGCCCCATCGGGCATCTGCCCGTCAGTAGCAGGGCTGAGGGGCCGCCGGGTAGCCTCCTGCTGTCGGGAGCCTATCCAGGAGGAGGGGCTTTGGCTGCAGCTGCTATGGGCTACCCAGTGGGAGTAGGAACAGCAGAGAACCGACCTCACCAACGGGAGGCCGCCCTCAGTCAGTCCAGACCCCAGTGTCAGCCCTTGCCCCTCCCTCCCAGCCAGAGCCACACTGAGCCCAAGGGACAGGGGGCTGGCAAAAGTCAGTCCCAGGGCCAGATCCAGCCCCACACTGGCCAAGCCTGGTTTTGGGCTGTCTGGGACAGCTTTGTCTTCACTGGGCTTAAAGAGGCCGTAGAAAGTTTGAAAATAAGTCAGGGCTGGGCGCAGTGGCTCACGCCTGTAATCCCAGCACTGTGGGAGGCCAAGGTGGGTAGATCACTTGAGGCCAGGAGTTCAAGACCAGCCCGGCCAACATGGCGAAACTCCATCTCTACTAAAAATGCAAAAATTAGCCGGGCATGGCGGTGCTAGCCTGTAATCCCAGCTACTCGGGAGGCTGAGGCAGGAGAATTGCTTGAACACAGGAAGTGGAGGTTGCAGTGAGCCAAGATCACACCACTGCACTCCAGTCTGGGTGACAGAGTGAGATTCTCCCTAAAAAAAAAAAAAAAAAAAAACCCAAAACAAAACACAGAGACAGCAGGGTTTCACCATGTTGCCTAGGCTGGTCTCAAACTCCTGGGCTCAAGAGATCTGCCTAGGCTGGGTGCAGTGGCTCATGCCTGTAATCCCAGCACTTTGGGAGGCCGAGGTGGGCAGATCACCCGAGGTTAGGAGTTCAAGACCAGCCTGGCCAACATGGTGAAACCCTGCCTCTGCAGAACACACGTAATTTTAAATACGTAAAGCATTTACCAAAGCTGTCCAAACACTGGGTCCTAAACAAGACTCAATCAAGAGGAAGGACTGAAATAATATGGAAGATTCTCTGACCACAGAGAAGCTAGAAGTTTAAAAATTAAGGAAGCAATGCAGTTCTAAACAGCTATGGCTCAAAGGGACCAGCCTGCAAATTAGAAGCTGTTTTACACCTAAGAATAATGACAGCCGGGCGCGGTGGCTCAAGCCTGTAATCCCAGCACTTTGGGAGGCCGAGGCGGGTGGATCACGAGGTCAAGAGATCGAGACCATCCTGGTCAACATGGTGAAACCCCGTCTCTACTAAAAATACAAAAAATTAGCTGGGCATGGTGGCGTGTGCCTGTAATCCCAGCTACTCAGGAGGCTGAGGCAGGAGAATTGCCTGAACCCAGGAGGCGGAGGTTGCGGTGAGCCGAGATCGCGCCATTGCACTCCAGCCTGGGTAACAAGAGGGAAACTCCGTCTCAAAAAAAAAAAAAAAGAATAATGACAATACAACGTGCCAACTCGTGGTCGCAGCTGAAGTGGTGCCTTGATGGAAATTCATGGACTTAGACGCACAGACGGGAAAGGAAAAAGGGCTGGGAATCACTTCTCTAAGTGTCCTTCCCAAGAGATTAGGACAGAAAAGGAAACGGGCAGGAGGGCTCGGAAAGAAAGGGTGGACATTCGGAAACGTTAAAGGTCTTGCTTTCTGTCTCCTCTGCTGGAACGTAAACCCCTCGAGGGCTGAGTGGTCTGGTCTGGTCGTGGCTGTACCCCAAATTCTAGGCCTGGCAGGGACAGAGCATGGAAACTGTCTCACAGAAGCAGGCTCTGCCAGGGAGACAATGGGGCATGAGGGTGGCGAGCCAGGTGGGGTGGAATGAACCCAGCCAGAGTCCATTTGTGCTTCTAAGGTCTGGTCCCCACCCCAAAGCCCTTCCCTCACCCGCAACAGCCCACCAACCTGGACAGGTAAGTGACCCAGCTGAGGGAAGGGAGTCCAGCTTTCTCAATGGTAGAGACTCGGGGTGTCCCCCACGGTGGCTCAGAGACCCCTCCATCCCCCTGGGGACCTCCCCAGTGTCTTGCTGGGTGAAGCCCAGCTTTGGCTTTCTGTCTGTTGGGCACTAGAACTACCCGGAGCAGAAGGAGCTGGAAGGCTGAGGCAATAGGTTTAACCTGGGCCTTTCCCGGAATGCTGGGACCTCATAGCCGCCCCTGAAGCACAGAGCCACCCCCTGCCCACCCCACTCCCAGCCTCCCAAGCTCCACTTCCCGCAGGGAGGAGAAATGGCATCTCAGCCCCCTCCCTCAGTCACCCCTGTCCAGGTGAAGCCACCTGGCAGACACGCCTTCCCTGTGCTCCACCCCCTCAGGAACACGCTTCTCATCAGCAGGACACGTGAGGCCACGTGGCTGGAGGGCAGCACGGAGACAGGAATGATACACAGCCCCAGTCCCTTACGTCAAAAGCAAATTGTCTTTCTTTTATGTGACAACTAAAATCTGAATTAAAAACCAACAGGCTGGGCATGGTGGTTTGCACCTGTAATTCCACTTTGGGAGGCTGAGGTGGGGTGATCTCTTGAACCCAGGAGTTCGAGAACAATCTGGTCAACACAGTGAGACTGTCTCTACAAAAATTAAAGTTACAGTAGCTAGGTGTGCTTTCCCACTACCAGGCAGTCCCAGCTACCTGGGAGGCTGAGGTGGGATGATCACTTGAGGCCAGGAGTTCAAGGCTGCAGTGAGCTATGATTGTGCCACTGCACTCCAGCTTGGGCAGCAGGGCAACACCTTGTCTCAAAAAATAAAAATCGAAAAATTAAAAACAACAAAAAACCCAAGAGATGCAGCGATCCAGAGGTGGCCCCGAATGCAGAAGGTTCACCACATGCCCTTGTGAACAAAGAAATGAAGGTCTCAGGCACACGGGAGAAATGAGCGAACAAATGAAACCCGTCAAGCAGGGGCTGCGAAGCCAGGGATGCCCTGGCTGAAGGTCACACCTGTTTCTCGCTCCTTTTCTGGCCAAAAAGAGTGTCTGGGCTATGTCCGTGTTAGGGCATTTTTGCAGCCTCACCCCCGAGGTCCTGAGCTTCCCCAGCCTAGGCCTGGACCTGGGAACCTGGAGCGTGGTGAGAGGGTCCCAGGAGCCTGCACCCCCTGCCAGGCAGCAGACCCACACCAGCTACAGGACAAAGCCCATCTCACACACACCGCTGGTCACCAAAGCCCGCATGGGGACCAGACACAATGCCACCTCTCCCCGGGAAGGGTAAAAACCAAGGCAGGCCTTGTGTCCAGGGCAGTGACTTGGCCAACAGGATGGTGCTGGGCAGGGGAACCTAAGCCTGGCCAGCCCCTCCCGGGGGAAGGCAAGCCTCGGGCAGGGTCTCGGGGCAGGCCTGGGCAGCCAGCAGCACCTCTGCTCCACGAGGGGCTTCCCAGGACCACAGGCACCGGCACAGCGGCTGCTGCAGCCAGGGAGGTCCTAGCCAGGCTGCAGGTGGGAAGACAGGACTGGGGCTGATGCTGGGATGGTGTGGTGTGGCAGCCAGAGCGACCCCAAAGCCAGGTCCCAGGGTAGTGCAGCCTGCTCAGAGACCCTCGTCACCCACCAAGCGTTCAGGCGCAGCCTCGGCTCTCCCATCCTGGCGAATGGGCATGCAGCACTCACTTCCTGGTCAGTGTAGACGGAGGTGGAGGGAGGATTGCCCCCCAAGGATTTAGGGCAGGTTCTGAGCTGACCAGGCCAAGTATAGGGGCCTGAGCACCAGGCTGGGTGTGAACAGGT